GTTGTGCACATGTACCCTAGAACTTAAAGTATAATAATAATAAAAAAAAGATTGCTTAATGAAAATGAAAGAAAGTCCACATTTCCAAAAGTCCAAAGGTAAGCGGATACTTTTGCTTCAAGAGACTGGCTGGAAAATGAGTGGCTGCACAGTCAAAAATTCATGTATAATTTCAGACTCCCCTGAAACTTAATTACTAATAGTCTACTGTTGACTGGAAGCTTTATCAATAACATAAATGATTAACATGTATCTTTATGGCGTATGTATATATATATTAAAAATACTGTTTCTTACAATAATGCAACTAGAGAAAAGAAAATATTATTAAGAAAATAAGATAGAATATCTTGACTGTTCATTAAATGTAAGTGGATCATCATCCTCATCCTCATCATCTTCAAGTTGAGTAGGAAGAGGAGGAAGAGGAGTTGGGTTTGTTATCTCAGGAGTGGGAGAGATGGAAGAGGTGGAGGAGGTAGAAGAGGAGGCAGAAGAGGCAAGGACACTTGGTTTAACTTTATGGAAATACATCATAATTTCTTGTCTGACGTTATTGGCTTTTCATTTCTCTAAAAATGTTTCTGTCTGATACCAGTCTTTCACTGTTTGCTTTAGTTTCAGTGTCCATATCATAGAAGGGTCCATATCATAAAATAAGTCAAAGCAGTCTTGAATAATTGGAACCCTTCTACCAGATTGTCAGTTTGTTTCCTTGCATTGCTTCTTCTATGTCTTCTTCCTTGTCATCTGGCACTGGTTTGGGAGTATTCATCTCTATCAAATCATCTTCAGTTAATTCTTCTGGTGTGGTGTATATTCTCTTGAATTTCTCCCAATAGCCACATCTTGAAACCTTTCACCCTTTGCCATTTTTTTTTCTCACCATTTCCACAATCTCTCTCATGATCTTGTTTAGCTCTGTTATAAATCCTGTGCAGTCATGCACAACATCTGGACACAGCTTTCTCCAGTAGTGTTTGGGGCTTGATGTGGCATCCTACTGAAGCCTTTCATATTCTCTCTATCAGGATTTTCTTCCACAGTGTTGACAATTCTTTCCATAGAGTACCATGTGTAATGAGTCTTTAAAGGTTCTTATGACCCCCTAATGTAGAGGCTAATATCATATTTGGAGCCAAGTGGACCACTTCAATGCCTTTGGTGTTGAATTCATAGAGTTTTGGGTGGCCAGAGGCATTGTCCAATATCAAAAGAACTTTAAAAGGCAGTCTCATCCTTGCTTCAGGGACAAAGCATTGATGGAACCAATCTAGAAAAAGCATTCTGGTTTTCCAAACCTTCTTGTTATACAATCAAAAGATGGGAGCAGGTGTGTATTTTTTCCCTTCAAGGCTTGAGGGTTAGCAGCTTTATGGATCAGGGCAGTTGTGATTTTAAACCTAACTGCATTTGCACAAAACATTAGAGCTAGCTTACCCTTCTTAAATCCTGGTGCTTGCTTCTCTTCTCTACTAATAAATGTCCTTTGTGGCATTATTTTCCAGAATAGAGCGCTTTTGTCTGCATTAGAAACCTGTTCTGGGATATATACTTTCTCCTCAATGATTTTCTGGAGACATGTGTACTCAAATCCTTTATCCATTTTAAAATCAGGCTTTTTATTGTTGAGTTGTGAGAGTTATTTATATGTTCTGGATATTAGACCTTTATCAGATAGATAATTGCAAATATTTTTTTCACGTTTTGTTAGTTGTCTTTTTTCTTTCCTGATGTCCTTTGAAGAATAAATGATTTTGAATTTGGTAAAGTTCAATTTATACTTTCTTTTGTTGCTTCTTTTGATGTCATAAAGATAATCCAAACTCCTGAAGGTTTACGCCAAAGTTTTCTTCTAGTTTTAGCTCTTTTATTTGAATCCTTAATAAATTAGAGTTAATTTTTGTATGTGGTGTGAGATGACAGTCCATTTTTACCTTTTTTAGTCCAGATATTCAGTTGTCCTAGCATCAGTTGTTGAAAACATTGTTCTTTCTCCACTGAATGATTTTGGTACCCTTAGAGAAAATCAATTGATCATAAATGTATGGGTTTATTTCTGGACTCTCAATTCTATTCCTTTTATATTTATTCTATCCTTATATCAGTTTTTGATTGCTATAGCTTTGTTTAAAGTAATAACCTAAACAGTAATTTTTAACCAGAGCAGGGTAACTGGAATTATCTGTAAAGCTGGTTCACCTGGTTCTATCTGTATATGATGAAGTAGCTTGTATTTTATAGAATAACTATAAAATCTGGTAAAAAATAAGCAACATAAGCAATCACCACAACTGTTTAAGGGCAATGGGCAGTAACCAAGCCTGTCAGGATTCGTGGGGCCATAGGATAAACACAAAGAAAACCATATTTAAGAACATGAGCGTAAAATGGCTGAAAACCAACTACAAAGAGAAAATCCTAAAAGCCACCAGTGAAAAGTTATACATTATTTTCTAAGGAGCAAAAAAATTATTGATGGCTGGGTGTGGTGGCTTATGCCTATAAATCCCAGTACTTTGCGAGGCCATGGGGGGAGGATCATTTGAGGCCAGGAGTTTGAGACCAGCCTGGGCAACATGGCAAGACCCTGTCCCTAAAAAAAATTTAAAAATAAGCCAGGTGTGATGGCACATGACTGTAGTCCCAGCTACTCAGGAAGATAAGACAGGAGGATCGCTTGAGCCCAGGAGTTCAAGGTTGCTGT